ACCAGGCTTCACCATTTTTATCTAGAGCATGATAGACTCTTTCCACAATTATCGCCAGTATTTCAGCAGCTGACCTGGATAAACGAAAGCCATATTGCTTGTCTGAGAAAAGGTTCTGTGATGAGAGATGATGAACCAATACAGCTTTGATTAGGGCCTCTAAGAGTTTCCCAAAAAGTGGTAGAATGCTAATAGTTGGAACGGTTGGATGGCTCATCTCATTTCTTGAAAACTGGGACAACAGATGAGGACTTCCATTAATGTAGGAAAGCAGGAGGCATTTATCATACAGTTTAGAGAAAACAGGAGCCAGTTTAGGAGTATATGTCTTTGCTTTCTACCTTGAGCTCCTTGGTAAGATCCAAAGAAGAATCAGCAATATTATTGGTCCTGATCTGGTGGCTCAGTTTTAGTCACTTTCCCACTGCCCTAAGGTTGACTCTCTATGTATTTTAGTGGTAATTGTTCAGATGAGATCTTCGCTTTGGGTTTGTAACAATTTGTGTTGTTGAGTGAAACTATTTCTAGCACAGCCTATTCGATGTTCAAAAGAACATTTTTAATGAAGAATTGATACCTGAATATATTAAGTTTGAATATAATCATTTTTAAACTTAAAGCTGGCTTTTATGACATCCTGGGTAAGATGTTAAACTACATCCAGCAGCAAGGCCTCTGATCAGGAGGTTTTGAGAAGCGTGGAACTACCCCTTAATTGCAGGTGTTCCCAGGTCCACCCTGACCTGGTTAGGGACCCAGCTATGGGCAAATATTTAACTATTACCAGTAATGCTTTTTGAAAAAAATTATTACCAGCAATACAATTTTGAAGGATAAGTATTACCAGAAAAAGAATTTTGACAAAACAAAATATTACCAGCAATAAAAAATTTTGTCAGCATTAAATAACCCATTGAGACTGATATGTTGTAAAACAAAATAAACCAAACCAAACTGGATTTTACATCTCTAGCAGCCTTAAACTAATAGCTATACCATCTTTCGCCATTGAGTGTTTTTCTCTGCGGGTGATTATAGCTGGTATAGGTACTGTTCCTCTTTTCTCATTATGTACCTTAGAAATTACAACTGTCTTTTCCTGATGTTAAGTACAAATTTCCTTTTTGTTTCAATTTTCTCTGGAACTTTGTTGTTGATCACATGTTCAGTCACTGGTATCCTCCTGTAGAACCACATTTCTGTTGCCTCAAGTCTCTTCATAATCTCTGAGGAGATTTTCCCGCTTTCACTGCCATACATGAGGACTGATTTTATGTAACAGTTCAGTACTCTTTTTGTTTCAAATGAAATTTTTCTGTTTCTTAATACTTTGCTTAGCTTTTGGAATGCATCTTTGGCTATCCAAATGTGCTTTCACATTTCAGTGTTGCACATTCCATCCTCTGTTAAAACATTTCCCAGATATATAATTTTTTATACTTGTTTGATTTTGTAATCTCCAATTTGTAGTTTCCATATTCCTTTTTCCAACAACCATGCATTCCGTCTTCTTGTAGTTGATGTTTAGTCCTTTCTTCTTGCTTTCCTTCACTACCTTCTGTAGGATTTCTTGTAGTTTCCTATCTGTGTCTGCTAGCAACATTGCATCATCTGCAGATCTTATGTTGTTAAGAGTGTGGTCACCAATAATGAATCCTGGTAGAACTTCTAATTCACTCAGAATCACCTCACTGTATAGGTTGAATAAGTCTGGTGAGAAGACACATCTTTGTCTTACATGCCTTTCTATTTTTGTATATCTACTGAATTAATTTTCTATCCATATGCAAGTAGTTTATTACTAGTATAGGTTCTGGATTATTCTAATATCCTTCTCAGATATGTCAAGGTTACCAAGCAGTTTCAACAGTTCCATGAGGATCCCCTCAGTAGGCCTAGCATAGAAATAAATACAATATAGGAGCCTTTAAAAAAGAGAAATAATAGAAACACTACAGCAATGGGAAGAAAAGGGGATCCTTAGTGAGTGCAAGCTTAAACTCAGTAGAAACAGGCAAATAAAGTAGAACAGTAGAACGAGAACAACCTACTAACATAGTTTAAATAAAAGGTTCACTGAAATTTCCTGCAGGTTACCTCAACTGACAAACACCTGAAAAAGGTTAGAGAGTAAAATGACTGAACTGCTCTGTTAATAATAACAAAGATGAGGACACTAGTACAAATGTAAACAATGTAAATAGAACATTCTTGTGCATATATGAATTTTCTCCCATGAGGCTACTTAGTTGGTAGTAAGTACGTTGAAGAAAATTACTGCTATTTTTCATTAATATTAACTGTCTTCCAGATAAAATTTGTTTAGTATATTGTAATATGACTAAAATATATACATTCTTAATTTCTTTCATAGCCTAATAATAATCAAAATAATAAAATAGTGGCTATATAAATTTTAATTAATTATACCAAGTAATTCCTACATTTAAATGCTTCCTGGTTAAAATGTTCCAGTTGTAGTACAATAGATTTTACAAGTTTTCTTGGCAAACTTTTAAAAGCATCTTTCAGTGAGCTTAAAAGAGAATCTGTTAAGTACAGAATGGTAAAAGCTCTCAAATGGAATCAGATAAGAATGGATTATGCCTAAAATAAGTACAAAGAGTGGCCAATCTTTTAGCATTTGAAAGAGAATTTTGCCAGTGGTTACATTTAATCTTTCTTTTCTTCCTCCGGAAAAACAGTTAAGTAAATGGTTCAATTGCACGTGGAATCTCTGTAAATACCTTAACCTGCTATTTATCGGATTAGAATCCAATGAGTTTCATGGCAGTTACCAAAATATTTCCAGTGCCAAGCTAACTGAAAGTGAAAAGGTTATAGAAAGAATCAATAGAGATTAATCTAAGTTTCATGATTTAATGGATAAGTAAAAGATATATTAGGTTATCTTTGAGCAAATTCATAAGCGGCCTTGAATAAGAATGAGAAATAACCCTTGATTAATATGGCTTTCTTGAGTAGAATTCTTCTTTTTAGTTCAGTTTAGATTTTGTGAGCAATTTCTACTATGGCTTTCTTGGGCTGAAGTATTGATTTTAATTAAGTTTAGATTTTGTAAATAATTTCTAATATAACTTTCTTGAGTAGAATTCTTCATTTTAGTTCAATTTAGATTTTGTAAACAATTTTAACTCCCTTAACCGTCTTCTAACACTATGATATGTTCTGAACTTTTAATAGACTGTCTAAGAAAGATCACTGGAATAGTTTTTGAAGCATCACTACAGAATTTGATTCCTCAATCAATAACACATTATTTTGGTCATGTAACAGACTAAGCTTAACAAATATTTATAGTGAATCATCAACTGTTTTGTACAATTCTTGATTTAACATAGAATAGTTTTAACCATTTATATTAACATATACTTCAAATAAATTTGACTATATGTATATGAAAATTCATTTTGAAAATTTGACTTTGTTTAAAGATTTATAAAGAAAAAAAATTAGAAATTTTATATCAAATTAAAAAAAAAATGTGTTACTTCAGGATAATATAAGTAATGGGATTTACTTTTTTTAATTTTATTTTAGCAGAAACTGTTTCAACAATTGAAATCTCAATAAAATTAAAGAAAAAAATGAGACTCCACATGTGCATGAAGGAGAGTGAATACTAAGAAATTTAGATTTAAAATTGTTTTTATTTTTATATATTATTTTAATATATGTTTTGGGTATAAAGTCTAGCCAGTTTTATTTAGTTCACTTCTCCCCTTGTTTATGTTTCTATTACTTAAATATTCCACACTGTGAGCTGCCAAGATATGGATAATCTAGTGATTAAAGCACTTTCTATACATTTTTGTCTTGCTTTTTCTTTTAATTAGAGTAACATTATTTAAATTAAAATTATAGTCAAACTCATTGCAGCAAAATTCTCAGCATCCCATCTCCTTTATGTGCATGTATAGTCAAATATGTATAGTCAAATCAACATAAAAGATGAAAGATGTCAGGCAAAAACTTTTTCCACTTTTTCATAGTTTTCCCTAAAAAGGTTGGTAATATAAAGAAAACAAATGTACAGATAGTACACTAAATGTTACTGGAACTCGATCTATGTTCCCTATTTGACCCAATTGAAAAGAAACTTATTTCTGGATATATATATTATATATTTATGAAATTCTAATATTTCAGATATAAAGTAAATCTTTTTATGCCATCAAATATGGGACTTTTAAATAATCAAGATTTTGAAAACAAACTAGATAGTGTAGATATATCATAAAGTGGGGGATCAATTTTATATTAAACTATGTTATAAACAGAACCTGTACTTCTTGACTATAATAGATTCTTAAAATTTCTGTCAATTATCAAATGAAAAAGTAATTCTTAAATCTATCATATCTGATGTATTTTAGCATTGGTTTGTTGATCAAATATTATAGGAACATCATACATTATTTGGCAAGGTTATACACATTTTCTTTTCATTACAAATTTATGCAATTTTAATATTCAGGACAAACAAAATGGGCTTATTTTATATTCCATCAAATATGGTAAACCCAAGTAGATTAAAGTTATTTTTAATTCAAGGCAATGTTTTTAGCATTAATAACAACTTTTTGCTTAACATATTTCTACCAAACTTCCTGCATTACTGTAGGTGGCACTGTATATCTGGTTGACCACAGATTAAAAACACACAAGAACAAAGAAATAAATAGATGAAAACTTGGAAGAATTCCTTTGCAGATTTCAAGTGCTAGGATTGGCAGAAACCAGGAAATGAGTGCTGTGCTATGGCATCATGTAAAAGAAATTCTCAAAGAATTACAAACTATTTTATGTCTGCTGGCTTGAAGACAGTATATCAGTCTTCAGCTAATTCCAAGATATGTCCTGCCAGTTCTATTCCATTCTGAAAGTGCACCCATTGGCTCAATTACCTAATTCAGTATTTTTTTTTTAATTATTTCTGTTTTTTACTTTGTGCATTTTTCTCTTTCTTTCTTGGTAAGTATCTTTCTTCTTTTTCTTCTTTCATCAAGTTTTCTTTTCTTTTATTTCTGTCAATCATTTCTCTTTCTTTCTTGGCAAGAATGTTTTTCTTCTTTTTTTCATCTATTTCTTTTCTTTTCTTTTTTTAATGATTTCTTTTCTTCTCTAGACTTTTTCTTTGTATTTTTTCCCTTTGAAGCTCTATTCTTCTTTTATATGTAATATCTCTTCTAGATGTGCATGATCATGGCTCTCCACAACTTCCTGTCCTTTATAGCTCAAAGAAACATTTAACTCTACACTCTTTATATCCATTCCACCATCCATTCACACAAACTTATTACATACTGTTTCTTACTGCTCCAACTTCCTTCAAAATGTTTTGTGACTTAATTTTTCCAAGCCCTCTTTCCTCATTGTCATGTCTTTGAAATTTAAACATTTCATTTTGATTTTAAGTATATATGACTAATTCCTTTTAACTTAATAATATTATTATTAATAATATATATTTTATATTTTTATAATATATAATTATATATTTTATTTATTATGTTTTATTTATTATATTTTTATAATATATATTTATATATTTTCCCTTTCTCTTTTCCTTTCTCCTCAATCTTTTTCCCATTCCCCCTTTTCTAGTTTTCTTTCTTGTTCTTTGAATCCCTTGACTCACTTCTTTCCTTTTATTGATGAGTAATAGGGTCTCTAGTACTACTAGTGACATTATACTTATACCACTTTACTTATTACATTGTATAAAAAGTTAGAACTACTAGAGTATTAAAATAACATGCCATCAATTACAAGAAGACAGTATATCTAGTCATTAGCAAAAGGGACAACCCAGAATGTATGCTACAAATTGGGATGTCAAAATAAAGCAACTATGGAAATTTAATTATCTGGCAAGTGTTGTAAAGGACAATAGGAAATGTAAGTCAGAAATCTGAAGCTAAAGAAAACATTAAGAAACAGAAAAAAATTTCCACTTATTTTTTGATGATTTTGTTCCCTCCATTTGCATTTTGTTCTCTTTTAAATTCTTTTCTTCTTATTTTATATGCAGTATCTCTTCTAGGCAAGGGTGATCATGGCTCTCCACAACTTCCTGTTTTTATAGCTTAAAGCAAAATTTAATGCTATGTAATATCAGTCCTCCTATGATAATGGTAATATTAGCCATTTCCTTATAAGGAAATATTAGGCATTCATTGACTGAGTAGTCACTGCCATTGTTGGTTGGAATTTATAAAATCATTCTTTTCAAAACAATTGTTTTGAATCAAGTAGCTGTTATCACTCTTTCCAGTATTGATGGGGGATTCCTTCCTAACCTTTTGTTTAAAGTAGTCAGGAACAGTAACATCTTGATTATGTCATTATTTTCTCTTTGATTTACATGTGCTATCCATTTTAGCTGTTCTTGCTTTTGTTGAAAGTCCTCAAGTGATATGGTTTCTGTTATTTGGTGCAGTTCTTAGTTTGAAGAAGGATGGTCCTCACTAAAACCTACAGGTTTCATTTGCTCAATGCCATTTATAACCATTGATCTAAGAAAGTGGTTGTATACAGCTGACAGTTTAGATATTTCTGAACAAGTTTGGCACCATGCATAATATAGTGCATGCTGGAAAATCTCACAGATGAAGAAGAAAAAATGAGGTAAAAGAATGATCCTGAGAATACCATAGACAGAATAAGGAAGTTTTTAGCAAAAATGGGATTGATGGATTTGTTTTTCAGGACTTATCAACCTTTTGTGGGTTATTTATTTGTTTTTTTATGGCTTATCGACCCTTTGTGGGTTATTTAAAGCTGAAACATATTTTGGATTGTAAGAATAAATCTTTTGTTTTTGGGAAGTGAATATTGTATTAACAATTTTTTGAGAATTACAATAAGTTTTCCAGATACAAGTCCTACTATTTAATCCATAGCTGGGAGGAGGATATGGATTCTTACCTTTCCCAAGGGTATTTGTGTATAAATGGATGTAATGAACCTAACTGGAATTTGAACATTCTGTTTTTTAAATCCCAGCTGCACACCATTATACCATCTATATATGCACAACAAAAATGGGAGCAAAAAAACACTTAGAATCAGAAATTGGAAAAAAGACACCTAGAATCAGAAATTGAAATTTTTAAGACATCTTCAATCTTTACAGCAAAGCACTCCTAAGAGAAATAGAAGTCCTGCCAGGATTTATTATTGGTGGGATCAATCTTAATTTAAGATCTTCAGATGAATCTAGGTTGATAAGAGATAGAGAAAAAACAGTAGGAACTTCTTGACAAGGCAGTAAATAAAAGTGGGAAGAAAAGATTAGCCATTATTTGTAAGAAGATAGAATATATATTTGTAAGCAAGAGGAACAGACCAAGATGCACACTGTGAATTGGCAATGTCAAAATCAAGCAAGTGCAGAAGTTTAAATATCTGTGAAGTGTTTTAACAGACGATGATGTGACAAAAATCTGAAGGTATATTAAAATAGTGAAAGATGCCTTCTTTTTTTCTACTTCTTGTTTCTTTTCGCTTTTCTTTCTTTTTCTCTTTATATTTTCTTTTCTCTTCGCTTTTCTTTTTTCTTTTCTTTTCTCTTTGTTTTTCTTTTTTCTCTTTATCTTTTCTTATCCCTTTGTTTTTTCCTCATTTTTCTATATTCCTTTCTTTCTTATTCTTCATATTTTTTCCACTTTTCTTCCATATCAACCTTTCATTTTTCTTTAATTCTGTTTACGTTTTTCCAATTTGTTCTTTCCAAACTTTAGCTGTCACTTTTGCAACAAGAGACCTCAAATCTGCTGACAAGACAGAAAAAATTCAATAAGTAAGATTCCTTATTTTTTTTAATCTTCTCTCTGTCAATATTTCCTTGACTTGCTCATGTCTTTCCTTTTAACAAAATCACAAAAGCTGATCCAGTTACCACACTTTTACAGGTATGCAAAACATGAGTCCCAGTTTGAAAAGATTTCTTTTTTTCATTATAAAAGACTCTTCCATAAAAATCATAGACCAGAGGATGAAACTGAATGCAATAAAATAAACTTATATTTAGTTGTCTGTCCAGACGACTGATTTAACAAAAATGAAGTTAATAAATCGGTTTAGCAAAAATTAAGTTACTAAGTCTCAAGTTTATTCCTATACAGCAGCCATTTTCTATCAGTCATTTGCCATAAATAAATAAGAATCAATTACTATGGTTTCTAATTTATTTTTTGATTATACAAATAACATTTTTGTTAGGCAATCTAAAGTAATTAAAGAAGAATTGATTACCAAGCTTTTCTTTTTGTATATAGTAGTGATTTTATTTTTATCTGTCTATAATACTAAAGGCTAAAGACTACTTACTCCTGGGAAATGTTTTAACAATGACAGAAAATATGAGATCAATATCCAAAAGCACATAGGAATCATGAAAGATGTCTTCCAAAAGCTAGACAAGAAGAAACAGGAAAATTTCATTAGAAACAAAGAGAAGAGTACTGAATGGTTGGGTAATATCAGTGCTCCTATACATCTGTAAATACTGGATAATTTTCCAACAAACAAAGAGGAGACTTGAGGCAACAGAGATGTGATTCTACAGAAGAATGCTGAGAATACCATGAACAGAGCATGTGAGCAACAAGGAAGTTTTATGGAAAAAAGAAAAAAAAACATGTATACTTGGAAACTGAAAGAAAGAATTGAAATCTCTAGGATGCATAGCAAGGAAAGTAGACTTAGGAAATATGACAATCACATGACATATTGGAAAAAGAGGAGCAGAGAAAAACAAGCTTGGATAAATGTATGGTAAAAACAGGGAATAGAAAGGATAGTGAAAAAAATCATTGCTATAAGTTATAAAGGATAGGAGGTTGTGAAGAGCCATGATCACCCATATCCTGGAAGGATATGGCACATAAAAGAAGTATCAGTAAACTTATTAAATTATTTTTAGTAAGAAGCTTTCAATATTAACCAATGTAGAATCAGGTTTAACTTCTTTTGGGAGGGTGTTTTTTTTCATCTTGTCTGAGTACAGATAAAGCACCTTGTTACAAAAAATATTCTTAAGAAATTGCATTGAAAGGATAATTTGTGTAATTTTGAAAATAGTCATTATCATTCCAAGTTGCTAGGATTGCTGATATCATTCTTTTTGGTGCTTTTTTAAAAATATTATTACCACAGTATCTTTACTGATCCATTATTCTATTTTAACTTCATCAGATATAAATTATCTGAAAAAAAGAAATAATTTTTTCACACTTTCCATATGGATTGTACATCTCAGGAAGAATTGTCTGAAAAATTTCAATAAAAAAAAAAACAGCCAACAGAATAAGGTCAATAGTCCAAATAACACTGACTTGCTCTTTGCTCAGACACAATAAAAATATTGTCTTGAATATTCCTTGTTGAAATAGGATGGAATAGAAATGATGCAACTCACAAGAGAATCAACTATCATGAACAACCAATTTCTCCCTCAAATTGCTGCTACCGGCCACTATATACTTGAATTTATATAAGCAGCAGCTTATATAAATTCAAGATAGAAATGATTGTTCAAATAAATTTTACATAAAGCTACTGGGCTCTCTATGAAAGAGAATTAAAAGCAAGGATCAGGTGTTTGAATTGATATTCAGTAAAGAATACATGCAACATTTAGGCATTTCAGTCAGTTTGCAAAAGTAACTTTCTGACTTTATGATTGTGACACCTACATAGAAAAGGATGGTTCATGATTTTATCTTGATGTTGTGTGTTTTATAACCAGCAATAAGGTATTTAAAATGGGATCTTCAAAATGATCACCAACTTGAACAAAAATAAAATAACAGATAAATAGAACTTTTGGTGTCAAGTGACAACAAACTGGACATTGAGGATTTCTAGTTATGGTCCTATATTAATATTTACATTTGGGATTAAGAGTTCTGGACTGCCTTTTGGCAAGGACCAGAGTGCCTTTTGGGTTAGTTCAAATGCTACCCATTATAATTACCAGCCACGTTGGGATGTTGAGAATAGAGATGCAATGCAGGATTTCATTGTTTAATCAATGAAAATATGAGGGAAGGCTCTATTGTATGATTGCATCTTGAATAAAGTGACAAAGAGAAACAGATTTATTGTAACTGTCAAATTAAAATTATGTATCCCAATTAAATGGAAAACTGATATGTTTGCAAAGAAATTCACATGGCAAAAATAATTTATTAAAGTAGAATAAATCATGTCAAAATATGTTATTAAAAAACATGCATTTTTTTCTTATCTAGCAATTATTTTCCATGAAAGTTGATCCTAACTATATGTCCTTTTCTTTCTTTATTTTTAACCATCTTTGATTAAATAATATTTCAGTTCATTTTCTACAGAATTGAAGAAAAATAATTTCATTAAGTTTTTAATCCTTTTCTCTTTATTTAGATAAAAGTTATTATCTTTCCTAAATCAAACCAGCTGAAAACTCAAATGAATTTGACAAAAAAAAAGGAACGTGTAAATTCTGGATATTCGCAGTTTATATAATGTACAATGAAGTATAAAATTTAATTGTGGCTTTATAATGATAGAAAAATAAATAAATAATAACAAGGAGACCAAAATCTCACCATGTTGGAAAATAAATGTATATTCAATATGGCAGGTCACAAAGCCATATTTCAACCAACCAATCTTAAAAGCTTTCACAACCTTTAAAAGTTTCACAAGTTTAAAAGTTGAGTGCCTTTGCATGCACAACATTATGCATATCACCTACCAAAGTATATAAAAGACTTCCTGCATACATTGAAATGTAGAAAATTATATTAGCTTCCTATCATATATTAAAACAATTAATTTGTGTTTCAAATTTCATTTTGACAACCTGTCTCTGATGTTTGTGTGTGCTGATTTGGCCTAAAAGATTATAAATTATCAGTGATTTGGTGGAACATTTGATTTATAGTAGAAGTTACCATTTTATATTCTGCTTATTTATTACCAATTGTTGAAGGGATATTTTAAATAAAATACATATTTATGGGACAGTGATTGTGATAGAATTGTGAACACAAAGGATAGAGAAATTAAATTATAGACAATATTATACATATAACAACAACATTCTATTGCCTTCTTCTTCTGTCTGTTGTTTAACTTCAAGTCATTGGGGATCATGGCTTTCCACAACTTCTTCTCTTTGTAGCTCTTCTTAGGTAGTGCTATGAAAATGGATTTACGTAGGTCTTCTGGCATCGCAAAACTAAATAGGATGATACAATCACTGGCAATTCATTTCCAAGCATATATGTCTGCTAGGGTAGATGGACAATCCCTGTTGCAGACAACTGCTCAAGCACATTTGTGTTTGTTCAACATCTGGAGTTATTTCCTTTGGTTTATACTGTAACCATTATAAGTAGATCTTAGTTTGCAGTTTCTGAGAGAGAACCCGTCATCTGGAATGATCAACAGTTCAAACAAGGTCAGCATTCTCAAACCATCGTTCAAGTTGACTTGTAATGTTCTGCTAACACAATCATTAATATGCCTCTGAACAGACTCAAACCCTGGTCACAATGACTTTTTTGTGCTAATACAATCATGGATTACCTCTGGGTAGACCCAAAAGCTTGGCCATAATGAGTTCTTTGTACTAACATAATCATGAACAGATTCAAAACCTTCATCACAATGACTTCTTTGTGCTAGCATGGTCATCAATGCCTTCCTAACAGTTTCGTCTGCCCAGTTTTACTTACAAGGCTTGGGTCAACTTGTTGTTTCATTTTCAGACTCTTTCCAAAAGATTCTCTATGCTGTGATTGCATTGAGAAATTACTTTCCTTACAAACTGAATGAGACATTGAGATTTGACCCTAGGTGTCATAATCAAAAAGTAAACATTCTAACCACTTGGCCACATGCCTATAAAGGGAGGATATAAAAAGAGGCAAACAGAATTGAGTATATTTAGATATCCTTATTTGAATGCATATTGTGTGCAAAGACTCATTGATGATGTTGAGAGACTTATATTGGAAACGTTTTGTTCATTTGGTAGAGTTATTAGCTTCGGGTATTTTCATGTTGGGTTGTGTATGATGTGACATGTGGTTCACTAGGAACTAAGAAGTCCCTAACACCAGAAAGGAAACAAGACATATCTTGTCCCTATGAAGTTTGAACCCTTTTCTTTGATACTGCTTTTTGGAAATACAATCTAATAGTCATTAGCCAAAGTTATTGGCAAGCAAGTGAGATTGTATCATCCTACAGAAAATTTATTAAAATAAGAAGGACTAGATATTAAAGAAAAAACATGCATTTTAGGATAATAAAGAAGAAATTACCTCTTTTACAGTTTTAAATTCTATTATTATTATGGAAAAAACAAAAAGTAGAAATTAAGAATGGAAAGAAAAAAGATTCATGTAATTTTTCCAATCCCTTGTTATATTATGCTTGAGTTTTTGTTGTTACAATACACCATCTCCTTCTCTAATAAATTTAATCTTTTGCATCATATTTAAATACAATTATGTTATTATAACCTTTTATAAAAGAAAATTTTCAGTTATCTTTAAAGTTTTCAAGGCAATAAAAGTGTATTAAAATGATGATCAAAATAAAAAAATGGTTGAAATTTTATGGACATCTCACTTTTTATATTTGTTTTTCTTTTTTCACTCTTTATCATTTTCTCCTTTTTTTCCATTCTTTTTTCTCCATTCTCCACCTTATGCTATTCTCTTTTTTGTTTTGTCTTATTCTTAATCATCTTCATTATTTTTTCATTCATTGTTCCCATTTTCTTTCCTTTTCAGTGAATGTTTTCTACTAATTTTTCTTTTGTTGTTTCTCTATATTTTTACTTTGATTTTTTTTTAATTCTTTCAAACTTTTTCTTTCTCTTTTTTCTTTTCAAATGTTTTCTAGTCTTGTGCCTCTTTCATTCTTTTTCAACTTTTCTTTCTTCCATGATTTGTACCAATTTCCTTTCTTTCCTCATAATTTTACATCAGTTTCTTCCTTTTTAAATTACTGCAACACTTTTTTATCATTCTTTTTCTTTCCATCCATTAGTTTCTTTTTTTTCATTCTTTCATTTCTTCACTTTTTCTTTTCTCTTTTCTTTTTCTTTCTTTTCCTGAAGCTGATTAACTGCAAAAGAATATGTAGTAGCTAGATTCTTCATGTAAAATCATACAAAGAGTGATGTCCTTCTAGACAGATCATGGCACCCAGAATTGCTGCATCATGAGAAAGATGTCCAAAGCCAATTCTGTTGTTAATTTGGGTGACTGAAGGAGAAAAGATTGAAACACATAGATTATTATAGAACTGAATGTCTTCATCAAAAACATAAAACCAGAGAAGCTGAGGTTGACTTAGAAATAAACAAACATCAATATATATTAAAATATTCAAAGAATATTGAACTGGATGTTTTGGGGCCGCAATCTTTCATTTATACAAGTTTGGTTAAAGACCAACAAATGGCCTTTGTTAAGGATTTTATTTTCTACATTTTTCCAGTTTCCAGTAAAATTTTAAATATAAATTTAAATGCTTGAGTAATTTCTGCTTTCATTAGATATTATCAAAGAGTTTTTTTTTTGAGTAAACAATAAAACTGATATAATACAGAAAATAAAAACACTTTGATCATGGCTTATAAATGCTAAAAGTATTCAAGACATTGGACAATTTATATTCAAACTTTCAAAGTTATAATAACAAAAAGGTGCAGACATTAATCTAAATGTAAATAATATAAATTAATTTCTTTTGCATGAAAATTTATAATTTGTTCCATTTTTTAAAAAAAATTAATCTATATAGGGCTTTAATTTTTTATAACTTGAAACAAGTTATATCAAATCAAAATGTAGATTAGAACAAATATATTTCTTATAAACTGCTCAAGGATGCTATAGACAGCATATACCATGAGAACAATGTGACACAGGAATTCAAAAGGAGCACTAGGATAAGAAAAGATTCTTTCCAAAAACTAAGCAAGGTATTAAGAAACATGAAAATTTCATTAGAAACAAAGAAATGAGAAACAAAGAATTGTTATGTAATATCAGTCCACCTGTATGGCAGTTAATGCTGGACAATATTCTCACAGATGAAGAAAAAACTTGGTGTAGACAAAAATGTAGTTTTACAGAAGGATGGTGAGAAAAAGAGTTGCAAAAGCCAAGAAAATGTGGAGAGCTATGATGGTACCCATGTCTTGAAGGGACACCATATGAAAAAGAAGAAGAATACAGAGGGATAATAAATTTGCTTTAATTTATATATTGTCTAATATTCATACCTTAGAAAGAATTTAGCACACACAAAACACACAGCAAGCTATTTGCATATCGATATATCTATATAATTTTACATATATTTAGTATCATACTGACATTTATTTATATCACTAATATTCTTTCTCATTCCCATTTAACATCTTTAACAAATAGTCATTTCTGCTTTTTACTTATCTTTTTACTTAACTTTTTTTTATTTAAAGTAAAATATCTAATGATTCCCATTGCTCCATCAACAATAAATAGAAATTATTTTTAGATAATGTTTCCAGTGAAGGAAGAAATTCTTTCCCAGCAAAGAAAGCAGAATAAGATGACAAAAGATTTATAAAATATAGACTAAGTATTTATGAATATATTTTTGGTAATATGTAGGTATCTGTGACTTATTTAATATTGATTAGGACTAATAACATCTATACATTCATATGTACAAGCAAAAATAGATATGCAATAAATTGTTTGGATAATTTTTGCAAAACATGTGTGTGTGTGTGTGTGAGAGAGTATATATACATACATACATACACACATATATATATATATATATATATATATATATTTACAGGATCAGTGCAAGGGTTCTGTGCACCCCGCTACTCTGCCCACCCACTTTACTACATCTCAATTTTCATAATGTAGTATTCATATAAAATACAAATTTTATTGTAACCTAATTAGGTACAGTAATGGATCACATGCAATATATTTGTCAATTCAACTAGAAAAATTGAAAATAAATACAATGTATCCAAATACAAATTAGAGACATATCATAATAGATTATTCCATCTTAAATAAATGAACAATGTTTGGAAATTTTTAACCTTTTTTTTCTTGTTAGAGTTGAAGAATTTTAGCACATCAACATTATGGAAAAAATAGTGAATTTTATATAGTGTTTTTCAAGACAGCATGAACAAAACAAATTCACAGATTTGGACAAAAAACAAAACAAAGAACCGAGAATGTCATCAAGATCCACTAACATTTTTCATCTTTTAATAGTCAGTTGTGTTTAAATTGAATTGCTTGAAATTTGACACAGGATAACAAGACAAAACTGATATATATGTTGTACAATGAAGCTAACATTGGAAAAACAAAAAGAATCTTATTTTTACTTAATAAAAAGAGCAAAATTTTTCTGTTATTCAATATTGTTTTATTTAACCCTTTTTTATATGCCGTACCTATGAACACTAATGGGCATGTCCCAATCCTTATAAATATGTTGGACACTATTGTAAGTGGGAGTAATATGCTAAGTAGTCCACCACTAGCAGTGGTTTACCTACTTCATGCTGCTGGCGAGTATTGTATTTTGTTGGTGTTATAAAGATTACTATTTCATTTCTAAACTCCGTTTTGGCTAATCCTCATTCAGTAACCTTTTCTATGTTACAACAGCCTTAAAGGCTGGAAGTGTCTAAATGTACCAGCAAATTTGATAAGTTTACAGTTTGGGAATGCCTGAATGGGCCTGCAATTGTGTAGCATCAGATTTCAATAGACAACATTAACAACAGTCACATCATCTACTCGAGGCACTGGAAATCTCTAACTTTGTAAAAGTTGCAGATTTCCAAAACCATGTTACATAACCAATAGTATCAAAGCAGTTGAAACAACCAATATATTTAAACAATAACTAATCTATTTACACTATTTACATTGAACAGTTTTCCTCATCTTTGTTGTCACATTCACAATGTTTCAGCCATTGTATGCTCTGCTCTGGCCTTCTTCAGGTGATTTTTTAAATTTTGAACCAAATCCAGAATAATCATGTTGGTGTTTCTGAAGATTGGTTCTATGACTTTACTGAGCAGTCTAGGAATGTGATTGTTATATGTGAGGCCATTTCAGGAAATAAACATGGGAAGAATGTCTACATAAACATCATCAAACTAATCTTCAGAAATGCCAACATACAGATTGACTATTCTTGGTTCAGTATGAAATTCAAAATAAAATAAAATCTGAAGAAGGCCGAAGCATACAATAGCTGAAACATTGTGAATGTGACAATAAAGATAAGGACAACAGTTCAGACAATGTGAATTGTATAAATATTTAAAATACCTCATCTCAGAAATATAAACAAATAACTATTCTTTATTTTATTTTTTCCAATCTTTTCAGAAGTTAATCTGTACATAGTTTTTCACCTGCAAAAGATTAAATTGTTGCGTATTTACTCGTATTTTGTTCTAATTAGAAAAGAGATTTGACGATTCTTACATTTTCAGCTGAAACTGAAACTATATTATTAAAAATTACCCTAACATATGCAATTTAATTTAAGCAAATTGGACATTGATTATTTCCTATAAGTTTCAAAACTTTGAAAATGCATTCATTTGTATATTTTTCTTTACTTTTCCCTTAATTTCTTTGCTAATTTTTCATCTACAAAGTTTCAGTTATTAGATTTGATTAAAAGTTTCAAATCAATGCAAAATTCATTATTGCTTTTTCTAAAATTCATTCTTTTTCCTTCTTTCATATGAAGGAGTTAAGAACATTTCTGTCTGTATGTTATGGAACGTCAATTTAAAACCAGGTTCAATAATATAAAAAATACAAAGAAAAAAGTAATCAAGTTACTCCTTTATTTTCGCTCAATAATTATCAGTTTCAATACATAGGTTTCTATTGCAAAAAATTACTTAATTTCATAAATTTATCCATAAAAATGACAATTTTACCAAATTAACCACTTACCTTCGATTGTAGCACCTTCTTATTTTGCAGTTGGTAAAGTAAAATGATATATTTACTGCCACTGATCAGAGGCAAACGTTTGAAAGAATAAAATTGTTTCTTTTACATTTATATATTCATGAAATGGAGCTAAAATTCTGCCACTTAAATTCTTGGCAAATGGACATATTTGAATAATAATTCAAATTACTCTTTTTTTCCCTCCCACTTTGTATGATGTTTTTTTTATTTCCATTTCTTTTTTCTTCCTCCCACTTTCTGTCTATCATGTTATTTTTCTTTCATTTTTTTTTTACTCCAACTCCCTCTCTTTATATCTCTAATGCATTCACCTAATATTTTCTTTTCCCTACCCACTTTCTTTCTTTCTTTCTTTCTTTCTTTCTTTCTTTCTTTCTTTCTTTCTTTCTTTCTTTCTTTCTTTCTTTCTTTCTTTCTTTCTTTCTTTCTTTCCCTTTTCTTTATTAGTTTCTCTCTTTCTAATTCTCTCTTTCTGTCAGTGTTAGACAGCATTTCTTTCTATCACTTTTTTTAATAGGCCTAATTTTTTACATTATTTAAATTGTTTGGACTGTTGTTCTCATCTTTATTGCCATATTCACAATCTTTCATCATTATATGCTTCGGCCTTTTTTCAGGTGACTGGAATTTCAAACTTATTTTGCTTTTATTTTGTCCACTGAGGTAGATGGAAATAAAGGGTTCAGTTCAAATTTCCAATCACCTGAAGAAGACTGGAGTGTACACTGGCTAAAATGTTGTGAATAACACAATAAAGATGAGGACAACAGTCTGGACAAAGTAAATAATGTAAATAATTACAATACCTCATCACAGAAATATAGACCGGCCTGAGTTTCTTTATCAGTTTTTTTCTCTCATTCCTCTACGATAGTTCTTTTACCTTTCTCCTCACCATACAATCATTTTTAAACTCTCACTTTCTTTCATTCTTCCACCTGATTAAATCATTTAGCTTGTATGAATAAAACACCTCATCCTTTTGATATTGAAATTGCTAGATGTCACCAAGACCAGATTATGACATTTTGGGACTCCTAGACTAATGAAATTATGCACCCCCCCGGCTTCAGATGGAGCCACCTTCTAACTCACTTGCACCCATCTTGTATAC